TAGCCTGTTATCTTCGTCTGATGTTTTTTGCTGCTCCAATATTTTAATTGTATTTTGTTACGTATCTTACTCATATCTTGAGATACTGCTGGATCAATTTGATCATATAAAAAGTATTTTTTTTATAGTTTCGCTGCATCAAGTGCTTGTTTGATGCTTGGTGGAGGGACAGGATCGTCTTCTTCAACAACGTACACAGCTGCAGTTCTTATCTATTTCGGCAACTTAGAAAGTACTGCTCAATGATTTATAATGTCGCATTATTATCGTTAAATAGAGTGAGCGTTACGCTATATAGAGTGTAATATTGTATAGAAAACAATGTAAACCAACCAAAGTCAAGCAATTTAACGTTTTAAGGAGTTTGTCGTTAAATCGAGTGACGTTATAAAGAGATTACACTGTAATTCCTAAAATCGCCCGGAAATTGTGAAATAAATTATATTAGACACATTTCCTAGGAAATCTATACGTTTCCTAAGTAGCAATCGGAAATGTATTACATTCAAGATGTCAGTGGGTACGCGGGGATATTATTCACAGAAAGCATTAGTTTTATACATTTCCTAGTACAATATCGGAATTTCATACAATTCCTAGGAAATGTATACATTTTCCAGGATATGTGTGTATTAAAAAATCTTTGACACAATATTTTATACATTTCTTAAATAACCCAATAATTGTATACATTTCCTAGGAATTGTATATAATTTCTAGATTTCATACATTTCCGGTAGCACATACGCAGTGCTGATGCTGCGACGGGGGGGGGGGGATTTCCCCCAATTTTCGCACGTCGCCAGGATCAGCCCTGTATATAGCATAAAAGGAAAGGAAACGAAACCCATTTTGTGTATATGTGTATATATATGTTTATTACAATAATAGGAACGTTTATAAAAATTAGTTAACAAATTATAAAATACGCATAGTAGATACTCAAACAATATTGCATAAATATTTTTAACAATGCATGAAAACACTAATGGTTTTTATAAAATATTCCAAATAGGATTATGTTCAGGATCTTGTGGTTGAATTTTCCTTGTTTTGTTGTCATCCGCTGAACGATGAGACCTTAACCAAGTTTTATTTAGTATAAATAAAGTTTAATTCCCGTTGAACCGGTTCAAAAACCGGTTCACGTATTTGTTTCGGTTCGGTTCGAGTTCCGGTTCAGCAGAAAACAAACGTTCCGGACTCCGGTTCACGGTTCGGAAAAACAAGCCGGTTCGTTCCGGTTCGGGTTCGGTTCAAACCCTTGTTTACAATAATACTTATAAAAATTCATCAAAAATTAGAAAAAAAAGTCAGCAATTCTTTTTAATTTTTTTTTCAATACGTCAGCCAATTCTCGTTATCAGAAATCATCTTTAGTTCCGGAGCGTTCCGGCTCGACAACACCACTGGTTAAATGGATGAGACATACTTATCGGTGACATACGAGGGTGGATTGATAAGTTTCCGGCCTGACC